ATTATTATTATTATTATTATTATTATTATTATTTGGGGGTGGCGTTTGATGGCTAATTTCTATATTGGAGAGGGAAATTTGCATTATAAACAGCCTTTTCAACTTGGCAGGGGAGACCAGTTCTTTTCTCATTGTTCCATTGTTAGGAATGGCAAAAGCTCTGGGCTCTTTTGGTAGGACCAAAAAAGCTATTGAAATATATAACCGTGCAATTTCGGTATTGGAATCTTGCAATGACATTGAAAATGAAGAATTAGTGTTGCCTCTATTTGCTTTGGGCAACCTTTTACTGGAGGAAAGAAGAGCAACTGATGCTGAAACTGCTTTCAAAAGGTTACATATTTTCTTGTTCAGTTCTTGGCTGTGTTTGGTTGCACGCTTATTATTCTTTCTTATTCTTATTCCTCTTCTCCCTCTTTTCTTGTCATGTTGTAGAATTGTAAGCATCTGCACGAATTTATACGGGGAAAATGATGTAAAAGTTGGAATGGCTTTGTGCTCTCTTGCAAAGGCAAAATATAGTAAAGGTAAGTAAATCGTACAAATTTCTCATTTCCCTTTACCCTTGCACTGATATGCAAATTAGGGAAAAATGTATAAACATTACTAGGAGGTTATGTCATACATCTGTCTGGTCTTTGTACTGGTTTTTGTACTCTGCAGGTAAGATTGATGAAGCCGTGAATCTATACAGGAAGGCTCTTCAGGTTCTCAAATATTCTGGATGTGCTGTAGATGACAAAGTTATGGAGAAGATAAGAACTGACTTTGCAGAGTTACTTCACTTGGTAGGAAGGTAAATTAATATCTGTGATATATATTTGAGATTTAATAAAAACAAAAGATCGACATTATATGTGATCCTATAACATTTTAATCAAGTTATTACTCCGTATTCGATTTTAGAAAGATTCTGTTTTTTCAAGAAATAAACAGACCCTTATTTTCTTCTTCATGTATATGTGCACACATACTTACATATTTCCTCATTGTGTTCTATCTGCTGTCAGGAACAATGAAGGGCGTGCCCTCTTGGAGGAATGCTTACTGATTACAGAGAAATCTAAAGGGAAAGACCATCNATTTATATAATCTTTTCAAGTTTTTGTAACATTTTTCCTTATTCAAAATATTGAGTAATTATATGTCAATTAATAGCCCGTGCGACACGGGTACGAGTCTAGTACAAAAATACCATCTCGATTGCCGTCCGGAGCTATAGTATGGTCCGAGCTCTTTCCTGCAAACTGCAGAAATGGCGTCTCTTCTCTGCTCTCATGCTAACATGTGCTGCGGGTGAATATATTATTTTCCATTCCATTTCTTTTTTAATTTTCTTCCTATGTATTGGGTCTGTGTTTTTTTTTCGTTTCTTTTCAAAATTTATTTATGTGTCATTCAATTTCAGGATAAATACAGTATGCCCAAACACCAATTTTGGAGAATTGCATACAATTAGGTTGTCTTTTTGTAATTTTCTCCCAAGACAAAAGTGCAATGTTAAGCTTTGCTTTCTTCTGAGAACATCCTTTTCTGGGTCTGGTATTGGGACACATATCAGTTCGGATGTTCTAAATGAAGAAACTTCAGAAAGGTATGAATTTTATAGTTGCCCATTTTTCATTCAATATTATCTGGGTAATTCCGCATTTCGTTTTTTATGACAAAGCGGTTGAAAAGGTTGGATCTTTTTATGTATTTGATTGCTATATTATCATTTGTGAGTGAAACTTAATTCTGTCACACGTTTCTTTGTTGATTTTTATATATTTTTGGTTTCCTTGTGAAATTATGAAAAGTTGATTAAATTCTGTCACTATGGAAATTTACAGACCCAGTATTGTACTTTTGGTGCATAATGTACTTCCATATCTCTTATACAGAGTAATTATTTGTTGATGTATGTTCTTATTGTAGGTCTAGAAATATGGGCAAATGCTTACAAAGTGATTCGAGCTGCATTAACGATCTTGAAGAGCAACTGCGTGTTCTCTTTAATGAAGTAAATTCGATGATAAAATCAGGAAATAAAAATGATGCTGTTGATCTACTTAAGGCAAATTATGAAGCTGTTAAAGAACAGATAGATGCCGGTTTCAGGGGTAGAGAAGAGGCCAGGGTTCTTGACACAATAGCATTGGGCCACGTTGCCCTTGGAGACCTAACCACAGCTATTTCCATAATGGACCTGGTAATTTCTTTTGTGCACTAATCCTCTGTGTTTTTTATTTGTTCATTTCCTACTTGTTTTCTTTGTTACCGATGTTGTATTAATATTGGTACTTGGCAGTTGAATGGGATTGTTGAACATTTGAAAAATGATGAACCGCTTTTGGACTCAATACTAATGCATATGGGAAGCGTGTATGATAAATTGGAGAAGCTTGAAATGTCCTTACTATCATACAAAAGAGCACTTGCAATTGTGGAGAGAAAATATGGTGATTTTTTGGTTATTTGCTTACTTCTTATTATTATTATTATTATTATTATTATTATTATTATTATTTGGGGGTGGAGTTAGATGGCTAATTTCTATATTGGAGAAGGAAATTTGCAATATAAACAGCCTTTTCAACTTGGCAGGGGAGACCAGTTCTTTTCTCATTGTTCCATTGTTAGGAATGGCAAAAGCTCTGGGCTCTTTAGGTAGGACCAAAAAAGCTATTGAAATATATAACCGTGCAATTTCGGTATTGGAATCTTGCAATGACATTGAAAATGAAGAATTAGTGTTGCCTCTATTTGCTTTGGGCGACCTTTTACTGGAGGAAAGAAGAGCAACTGATGCTGAAACTGCTTTCAAAAGGTTATATATTTTCTTGTTCAGTTCTTGGCTGTGTTTGGTTGCACGCTTATTATTCTTTCTTATTCTTATTCCTCTTCTCCCTCTTTTCTTGTCATGTTGTAGAATTATAAGCATCTGCACGAATTTATACGGGGAAAATGATGTAAAAGTTGGAATGGCTTTGTGCTCTCTTGCAAAGGCAAAATATAGTAAAGGTAAGTAAATCGTACAAATTTCTCATTTCACTCTACTCTTGCACTGAAATGCAAATTAGGGGAAAACGTATAAACTTTACTAGGAGGTTATGTCATACATCTGTCTGGTCTTTGTACCGGTCTTTGTACTTCTACAGGTAAGATTGATGAAGCCGTGAATCTATACAGGAAGGCTCTTCAGGTTCTCCAATATTCTGAATGTGCTGTAGATGACAAAGTTATGGAGAAGATCAGAACAGACTTTGCAGAGTTACTTCACTTGGTAGGAAGGTAAATTAATATTTGTGATATATATTTGAGATTTAATAAAAACAAAAGATTAACATAATACGTGATCCTGTAACATTTTAATCAAATTGTTACTCCGTATTCGATTTTAGAAAGATCCTGTTTTTCAAGAAACAGACTAAACTGACCCTTATTTTCTTCTTCATGTATATGTGCACACATACTTAAATATTTCCTCATTGTGTTCTATCTGCTGTCAGGAACAATGAAGGGCGTGCCCTCTTGGAGGAATGCTTACTGATTACAGAGAAATCCAAAGGGAAAGACCATCCCAACTGTGTTAAACATCTATTAAATCTTGCCACTTCATATTCTCGGTCCAAAAATTATGCTGAAGCTGAGAAGTTGCTGCGCATAAGTTTACAGATTATGTTGAAGACTCTGCCACGTGATGATCAATCTATTAGCTTCCCAATGCTCCATCTTGCACTTACTCTCTTTAATTTGAACCAAGTTGATGAAGCCGAGAAGTATGCACTAGAGGTTTTACGCATTCGCGAGAAGGCCTTTGGAAAAGATTCTCTTCCTGTTGGTTAGCTCCTGATGATTGAATACTATTGTTATAATAATCTTTTTAACCAAAGATATACCCCGTGTTGATTAACTCTTCAAAATGATATACATGTGCTTTGTTTTAACCATAAAAATGTGTTCCTTTGTAGGGGAGGTTCTTGACTGTCTTGTTTCTATTCAGAAAAGACTAGGAAAAGATGACAATGAGTTGCTGGAGCATCTGAAGCGAATTTTGAAAATTCAAGAGAAAGCTTATGGCAGTGACAGTGAAGAGGTTATGGAGACACTCAAGAAGGCGTGCACTACATGACGACGATAGGATTGAGACACGAGAAACTCCCTCTTGAAAGAAGATTGGCACGTCTCAAAGACAAGTACAACCATGCTGTGAAACAATATTAAAGGTTCCATTCCCAAAGCTGTATGCAAGAGTCATGGTGCAGTCACACCACGGATGACATCAAGTTTGACACTGCCAAATGTCTCATGTTTGCATTTGATTGTCTCTGATCATTTTACCGTAGAACTTTCATACAAACAGTGCCAAAGCGATGGGCGATTCACTGGTCTTTACCTCCAGAAAGCATTATCAACGATTGGAGCTAGTGATTATATTGGCATTATCAAAAATTTTCCTATGAAGGGAGCATCAAATTGAAAGCAGGATTGAGCTGAGACTTCAAAACCGACATCAAATTACATACGCTTTGTATGTATATGTAAATGCATTAGCCCGGGGATGCTATGCACCTGCACTTTCTAGTGCGTTTGATAATGATAAAAATGGGAGAAAAAAATATGCTTTGCTATGTTGTTCTCTGCAGCTGTTATGTTGTTCTCTTTAGAAGGACAGATGTTCTAAGAACATCTTCAGTAGAAGAGAATGTATGGTTTTGTTTCTCTTGGAAGCACTTGTAAGAGCATTGTTGGCTCCCAAAAGCCTTCAAATACAACTTGGTTCAACCCAAACTCTTTAACATTATGTTTGGTTCAGGGAATAAGGAAAGGCAAGAGAATGCTAAGGAAAATAAGTCAAAGAAATTAAAACCAAAATGCAAGATATATTGAATTCCAATGTGATACATTTAATTCTTAATTTATCTTTTTTCAAAATTATATAAAGAATTCAAATAAAATTTTCTCAATAAATATTCCGTATTTTAAATTCATATAATATATCGAGTATTCTAAGTATTATTTGATCAAATGAATTAATTTTCTATAAATAATTTTTTACCCTATCCGTATGAAATAAATTGGTTGACTCGCAACAAAATTAGAGAAAACGTTTTGAACTTTCCTTCACACGGAGAATGAGAAAAACAGACTCCAACGTGCGTCTCCTCCTCTGTGCTTGACCCACTTTTTTTTTTGTTCGTTGGCCGGAGGTGGACTAAATTATTATTATAAATTTATGTACATTTTTTTCTTGAGTGCATAAATTTATGTGTGTACATTATTTCTGGGATAAATTTGTTTATTTGGGGAAGGTGAAGATGCCAAGCTGTGAGGTGGGTAAGTACCAAAACGAAGAAGATGTTGCTCAGAACAATGGGATCACGATCTTCTATCGGACTTATGGCCAGGGACCAGTTAAGGTCCTCATGATCATTGGTATTTATATATATTTTCTTGATTTTAAAGAAACCAATTTTATATTTGACTTCCTTTTTTAAAAAAAACTATCCAAGAAAATCTGAAAGTTTTGATGTTTGAGATGGTTTTGGTGATGGTAATTAGGTTTGGCTGGGACGCACGATTCATGGCTTCCGCAAATCCAAGAGCTCGCCGGAACGGTGACTCCCAATGACTCCGAGTCGCCATCCGGCGACGGAGGTGGAAATGGAAACGTCGAGGTTTGTGCTTTTGACAATCGTGGAATGGGTTTGAGCTCCGTGCCCATTGAGAAAGGCCAATACACGTGAGTTTCCTTTCAAAGATTGGATTTTTATGCGTTTCTAGTGGTTACAGCTTCTGGGTAATCTTGGATTTTGATTTTCATGGGAGGTAGATAGCCTTTGTGCATCACTTTACTGGGAATAAAGTGATTTCACAGCTGCAGCCTAGTTGATTTCAGAATCTTGGATTTTGTTAGATGTGAATGTGTCTGCAGAATTACTGAAGGCCTAATGATCCATTGTAATGTTAACAATTTGAAATGAAATTTGATATTCATTGTTTAAAAAGAATTCACAGAAGTCATTTGCGACAGTAAAATCATCAATTGCGAGAGGGTAAACTTGATGTTTCACGTTTTGTGATGCAGAACAAGAATCATGGCAAAAGATGCAATAGCTCTGATGGATCATTTAGGTTGGGAAAAAGCACATGTATTTGGCCATTCAATGGGTGAGTGTAATTTGTGCAATGTCAAGATTTGGGTGGCACTCTTCACGATTTCCTACATGTATAATTATATATACTATCTCCAAATTTAGTTTTCTACTTTTATTTTTTTGAGTTGTCTGGAGGTAATTGTCCACTTAACTTATTTGGTGAACAAATGATATGGCATTATGCAAAATAACCCTAGAACATATTAATCATGTTGCCAGCAATGGAAGACAAGCCCTTTACAAAGGCTTTTTTTGTCATTTCACCCCTTACCAACTTATTTGCTTTATATACCTTTCTGTGAAACAATAAGAATATCACTCATTTATTCTAATCCATTAATAGAAATATTCATGTTATGGTCATTGGACTTGACTTTGTTGGTGCATATTATTTTTGATGGTGCAGGAGCTATGATTGCTTGCAAGTTGGCTGCAATGGTACCTAACAGAATTTTGTCATTGGCTTTACTGAATGTAACAGGTGGAGGTTTCCAGTGCATACCAAAGGTTGTTCTTTCTTTCTTTCTTTCTTTCTTTCTTTCTTTCTTTCTTTCTTTCTTTATTCTTTCTCTTTTCCGGTGGATATCTCCTATGCATATCAAAGACAACTTATGGATTTTAAAAGAAATCAGTCGCTTCTATTTCAACCAAAGTATATGAGCACCCATCATGAGTAATGGGGTTAACTTTCACGCACATAGTAATTCTCTTACACTCCGTATTATGTGTCTTTGTTCCTGAAGACAACGATAGCTACTTCCATCCCTAAGAGCTAATCTTTTGGGAAGTATTCTATGGTTGTATCCATTTGAAAAAACGCTAATCTGATCTAAATCAACGAAAATAGAAAAATTTGCTCAAAAGTCAAAATATCAAAGACTTGTCTAGAAAAATATGCATGAAATCAAACACTGGTAGATATGTGCAAAATAATCTCTATTTTTGAATTTGTCTAGAATAGTCTCACACTCCCCTCCTTTCAACTTTGTAGTGTATGTTAGTCCATGCCCTAAAACTGTGATGTTTATTTTGGTCACTTGAAAATACTATTGAGTGCTTGATATCGTTATCACCTTGAATAAAAAGATGTGAGAGTCACATCTAATCATGTAGTTTATTCATCCTTGTTTGCAGTTTGACCGTCGAACTTTGTCAATTGCTGTCCGTTTTCTCAAGGCAAAAACTCCTGAACAAAGGGCTGCTGTTGATCTCGACACCCACTTTTCAAAGGTGAATATATATGACTTTTTTTTGTGTAGTTTTGTTTTTGTTTTTGTGTTTCACTTAAGTACAACTTTGGTGTTTTTGTTTGGATGCTATATATGCAGGAATTTCTCGAGGAATATGTAGGAACCAGTACACGCAGAGCAATATTGTATCAAGTATGTTATGTCACAGAACAACTTTCTTCTCTTTTTCATCCAAAAAAACAAAATAAAAATAAACAGAGCTAGCGTTTAATAATATTCTTGATGATGAACATGAACCATTGGCATCCTTTTGCAGGAATATGTGAAAGCTATATCAGCAACAGGAATGCAGTCAAAATATGGATTGGACGGTCAGATCAATGCTTGCTGGACCCACAAGTTATCCAAGAAGGAGTTGGAATCCATTTGCTCCGCCGAGTTTCCTATTTCCATCATCCATGGGAGGTATGTATGAATGTCCGTATATAATAACAGATACTATAATTAATAATAACATTAGGTCTTTCAGTAACGATTCTTTCTTATCCGGTTAATATTAATATTAGGGATGATGTTATTGCCCAATTATGCCATGCGCGAGCACTTGCAGTGAAGTTATACCCTTTTGCTAGAATGGTGGAACTTCATGGAGGCCATCTTGTCAGTCATGAAAGGACTGAAGAGGTCAAACAAAATTTCTTCTTCTTCATGCTAATACAAAAGTCCCATCAAGTTGTAACACAGAAAAACTTCTTGTTATGTGTTTGATAACTAACTATAGACATGACGAAAAATGCAGGTAAATGAAGCACTTCTTCAGCTGATCAAAGCTTCGGAAAGCAAGATTAATGCATTAGAGTGGACGAATTTGTCCATGGAAACTACCGGTACGTTAAGTAGTAGCAGCATATCTTCAATCTTCTACATGGCTTCCTCTAAGATACTGCCAAATGCATTCTAATGGGTTTTGTTGTATATATATCGATGAATTGCCAGGGTGGAAAATGATTCGGTTGTCAATTACCAGACCGAACGGTTTATCTTTTGTTTTCTTTTACATCATAGAAAGGCTCCAAGTCTTTCTTCTCTTCATTTTCAGCCTTTTCCTACTATCATTTGAACACATGAGAAGAGCTATTAAAAGCGTCGTAAAACCCGCAAAAATTGGAGCCACCCTCACATGAAGAAGCACCCAAGAAGAGCTATTATAACGATGGTAACTTTTTTCAATTGTTTATCCCTTTGCAAGGGAGTTTTGTCGTTTTTACCATCCCCTTCCCTCGGGGAACTTATTCGCACATGTGTTTTAGAGAATTGTTGATGATCACAATGTAATTGTACATGATGAAAAATTGGAACCGCACTCGTGTGAATTGGCAATGAATGGAACAAGTAAATTCGTATTAGTTTTTGAAACGTTTTCACAAGCAAGAAGCATTTTAGGCAAAATATTCTAATGTCAATTATAAAATTCATTTTGACTTTCAAAGTGGTTATTCAGATGGAAAAAAAAATTCAAAAACTCAATATTCATACATAATTTTGAGTTGGTCATATGCCAAAATCATGTGAATTTGCATGATTTAAGATTTGAATATTCTCCTTGAATATTTGGCACACCCAATTCAACTAAACATTATTTCTTTAACTTATGGTAATCATGGTTTATAATACTCGTCCATTATGGTCAAATGTACACAAAATTTGGGACAGCAATAAATTTACTGACAACCGAAACACATTCAAATTTTCTTAATAAAATTTTCCTCGGTTTTAAATTATGTTTTCCACTTCTTTAATGTTACAAATGTACTAATTTTCATAAAATGAACATGAAAAATTGTGTTGAACTTTTGTAATGTGTTAATCTCATTTTAAGCACCATCCTCATTATTACATTTGAAATGCTATAGAATGAAAATATATATATTTTAAGAAAATTTATCCGAAATAATCTTAACTTTGCCTGATTTTTCAAAAACAATATCAGCTTTCAATGTGATGCATAATAATCCTAATTTTACTCAAATTTACAAGTTTTGGTCGTTGTTAACGGTGAGTTAACGAAAATGCATGTTTTACACAACAAAATAAAAGTTATAACTAATTTTTATGAACATTTGTTTTATTTTTTTTTTCTTAAATTTTTTGTCTAAATTTTTAAAATGACTTTCTAGCCTCATTTTATTTTTTACTTTTTTAAGCTTAGTCTTGCCTTAGAGAATGTAAAAAATAAATATAAAAACAACTAAAACTATATAAAATTAATGAAATAAATAAAGTAATCAATATGAACTAAACTGAAATTGATAAGAAATAAACAAATGTATATGGAGCGATAGGTTCTACGGAGTAATATTTTACGTATTATACATAGCATGTACACGTCCTTCTTAAAAATAGATAAAATTAATATTATTCTAGATAATTTTTCCTAAGAAAAAAATAGAAATAAGTATTAAAAGAGAAAATAATACTCCGTAAAATAAATAAGAGCTTGTTCTTTTGGGCTGGAAGAAAAGAGCTGGATGTTGGAAGAAATTGGAAAATACTGAAAGAAATTGGAAGAAACTGGAAGAAATTGAAAAAAACTTGAAAGAACTGGAAAAACTAGAAAAAACTAGAAGGAACTCGAAGAAACTGGAAAAACTTCAAAAAATTGGAAAACCTAAAAAAAACTTTAATAACATTTATTTTAAATTCTTGTTGTTATAAATTATTATTATTATTATTATTATTATTATTATTATTATTATTATTATTATTATACAAAAAAGTATATTATTTTTTAAATATAAAAAACTACTTTTGCAAAAAAATAATTATAATATAAAGTTAGCATAAATATAAAAATTTTAAATTTTAAAAAGTCTTTGTGGTTCTATTGCACCTCAATTTATTTATGTAGTATTTATTATAAATAATATATTTGTAATTATACTTTATATATTACAAGATTTTGTTTTAAATACTCCTTACGTCCCAGTATATTTGTCCAGATTGACTTTTTCGAGTCAAATCGGATAAAATTTGAGCTTCAATTAAATAAAAATCGTAATGTATTTTAACATAAAAATGCTTTTATTGGATTCATCGTATTGAAAACTTTCAAATTTGTATTTCATTATGCTAATATGCAATATAAATTGAAAGTAATTAGAGTTCAAAGTTTGTCCAGTTTGACACGAAAAAGTCAAACTGGACAAAATACACTAGGACGGAGGTAGTATCAGACATGTCACATAATGTAATCAAATCTATTTCTTCTTTCATGATTGACATTTGATTTTCATTGAAGTCATATTTTTTGAATAAAGACATAATTTTTTTTTACATTTTTTATGTTTTACTCCTATTTTAGTCTTTTTCTCTATAATATTTTGACTTCCAATTCTTTTATAAAAATTAGAAAAATGAGCAAATTTTAAGTAATAAAGGGAAATGCGAGAAATCTTATATAAAGTTAGATTAATAAAACATTCAATTTCACTATTTTATACATAATTTTGTTAATATAATTTTACATATTGATGATTTCCTGTTTTATCATGTAGACTAATATACAAAAAATTTTCTTATTCATATTAAAAAGTTGAAGAAAAAAAATAATGAGTGTGAATCTTAAAATTAGTGAAATGAAAAAATAATTTATAAACTATATTAATGAACATAACAGTTGTAATAATAATAATAATAATAATCACATTAAAATACTACCTCCGTCCCACTGTCTTTGTCCACATTTGACTTTTGGAACTGTTCATTTAAGCACTTTGACTCATCAAATTCTCTCAATATGTAAGCATAAAAATAGTCATGTGTGATCTTGTTTGATTCGTCTTAACATAAAGATTATTAATATATAATTTTTATAATTTTTTAATATACAAATTACAAAATAAAATGGATTAAAGAAGTGCATTGAATGGTGTGCCAAATGGTAAGTGGACAAAAACAGTGGGAAGGAGAGAGTATATCGTTTTTAGAGTAATTGATTGAGAAGTAAAAAGAGTTTGAAGAAAATGAAAATAATTGGAAGAAACTGGAACGAACGGGAGGAACTAAAAGAAACTGGAAGAAACTGGAAGTTAAAAGTTCAAATCATAAAAAACATGATCTAAATAAACACATGTTATACAGCCCGATCTAACCCAAAAAAACATCCAGATTTGGACCTGAATGGACTAGAATTGTTAACTTCGGGTCAGGGACGGCCCAATAGAGGACAAATAGTCCATCCGAAGTGGGCCCATGAATTTAAGGGGCCCAATATTTCTTTAATACGGAGTAATATATATGTATATAAAAAGCCCGTAGCCCAGTTGTCAAGGCCCGTCTCTTTAGTCCCCACCATCCTAGACAAATACTCCCTCCGTCCCTCATAGATCTTTTCAGTAGCCCTTTTTCTTTGTCCACAATAGATCTTCTCACTTCATTTTTTAACAATTAAAATATTACAACTACCCTCACTTATTTTATTTATTACATTTCACCCACCTCATTTAATACACTCCATTCATTTTTTATTAAGTGTATTATGGCAAACCAAAGTCAGCGTAAGAAATAATAACGAATATCGCGGGGAAGGCCTAAGGGCTAGGTCGACTGAACATAATCGCCAAATCGGAAAACTGCCGATAGAGTGACGCCGTCGCCGCCAGAGTCCAGACGCCGCTGGGCGCCACGCCACCAGCCTCCAGGTATTCCGTATGTATAGCTTTCCAATTTTGTAACTTTTTTCTTTCATTTTTTCGTTCTTTAGATTTAACTAGAGTTAATTATTAATTTTTAATTTGAAATCTTTGCTAATTGCTATGAAATAGAATGAATTAATGGTTCCATATGTTATCTATTTGATTTGGATGAATTGAATTGAATTGAATTTATGATATATTTATAATTTTATATATATAAACTGAAAATTGAAAAAAAATTAAAAACTAAAAAGTTGACGAATTGATATAAATTTATGATATATAAAAAAATTATAACTAAAAAAGAAAAAAATAGAAAAATTGACGAATTGATATGAATGTAGGATATATTAATTTATGTTTTCTTCTAATAATATTGCGTTATTTATTATTTGGATATAATTGGTGTACATGTGTTAATTTTTTAGACCATAAGGGATAAGAATTTTAGGATTTTTTTTATGTTTCGGCCCAAGCCCAAGAATTCTAAGGACCGGCCCTGCTTGGGGTGGTGTCTCAAGATGATAGAACTCTCCCTTGATGAGCTTGAATTGGTGGAGTGTATATTACTTGATAATGTGGGGGAACTTGTGGTGAAGATGATTAGTTTCTAGTTATTCTCATCTTTTTTGTTTCTTATTGTCTTGGTTTATTTTAGTTTGCACATTTGAAGCAATTTGATTTGTAACCTGAGTCCTTATGTTTTGGTTCTTTTGAAAACTTTGAAACATGAACTTCATTAAGTAATTTGCATTTGATTTAACCAAGAGCTTCGCTGTGCCTGTGCTTCCTAGGTCAAAACTCGACCTTTTCCCTCCAAATCTACATTTCTGGTTCAGACATGGCAACAACAATGAATGCCCAGTCGCAGTGGGACTTCACCTGGTAATCTACCTCTATATCTGAACTATGCTCACATGCTAGCCTAATCGAAATTGTATTGTAAAAATCAGATTCTCTTATTTGTTTGAATGAATGGGAAAGTTGCTTCCTTTTTCACATTTACTATTTTTGGGATTTTTTTGATTTTTCATTTGACCAAGTTAATGACTTGGTGTGTTGTGCAAAGTGACTTCGAGGTGAATTTTGGATCTCAAGAAAACGCCCAAATTATCTATACGGCACTGTCTGTTGATAAGGAGGTAAGGTTCTTTTAAATAATTATTGTAGTTTGTTTCATATTAATTTAGAATCATTGAAGGAAAAATCATTTTCTGTTTCATTTAATTTCAATTGCAGTTGCAACCTGATAAGGTGAAAAGGGTAATGTCAGCTTCGGATGGAAAGCTCCTAGTGTGAGTACCTGTTTTTACTCCCTACAGTAAAACTCAATATCTTAAAGGAGTAACTTCTTAATCCACTTGTATATTGCCAAACCAGATGATAAGCATCTTTTCTCAATTCTAAATAGGGATTATTTTATTTTCCTATCCTTTTATTATGTTGGCAGGCATTTTGAGGCTATTGAAGCTAGATTCCTTCGCGCATCCTTCAGTGCTTTTGTGGATGTTCTTACTCTTGCAGCCAAGACAATTGAAGAATTTGGTCCATTTAAGAAATTATGATAGCAGATACACTCTCAACATTTTTGGACCTGACTATTGTTGGTAGTTTTTATCATTGATGATGATCTTGTATGCTTTTGTATCTTTTTCACAACACTTTTCAAGTTCATGCTTCAATTTTGTCTTGCAATGAATGGTGAAAGGTGAAATCTTCAAAGCAAATTTAGAACACATTCTACATGTTACATATCTGGCAATTTATGAAATCAAAGAGAGCTTTATTTCACCACTGATTTAAATATTTCCTTTGCTGATTCTAGTTCATTTACCACTCTAATCTGGCAGTTTCTGTGCATCATTCAACTCACTTTGTTCAAGAATGAAGACAACCTACATTGAACCTTTTAACTCTACTAGTTAACAGATTCACAAAAAGTGCAGAATATCCCACAAATATTACTTCATGTCATTAAACAAACTTATCAATAACACATGGAATTGCTTTTGTGCAAATACGGCAAGGCAGAATAGTAAAAAAATAACTCGGCGAGCTTCCAAATGTGGGGAGAGGGTAAGCGTATGCAAACCTTACCCCACCTATAAGCACAGTGTATTAAATAGATAAAAAAATACTCCGTACATGGTAATTGGTAACATTGCAAAGTGGTGGGTAAAAAATTAAACGGATTTGAGTTTCTAATCCATGTTCAATGTCGGTCTTCTATTGTTTGTTAATATTCATTGATGTAGGTATATAGTGTTTCGTCTTTCTTTGACTTGCGCCGGCTAAGCAAAGATCTAAGGAGACGTTTGCTTTTGCCTGTGTGGTGATGATCCAAATCTTTGCGTATTTCTTTGTCTGTATGGAGCCTCATTGAAGCTGATTTAATAGGTTCCGAAGGGTACTGTTTCACCAAACCATGAAACTCCATTAGGCCATCAAACCTCATGCATATAATCATTTTAACATATTTTTAATCAAGTATAAGGGCACAAGTAAGGTAATAGTAGTTATGGATGCCAAGTGGAGCCTAAGAAATGCCATCACTTAACTACTTAAGAGCATATGGAGAGTAATTGCAGGGAAGGAGATCCAGTGTTTACCAGTCTTCTAGGATTTGGAGTGGTGGGGCTGCTTGGATTCGGCGTTGTAGACCGCGAGGAGCTTTTAGGGGTTGTTTGCCGAGATTTTTTAGGTGTGCTCGACCTTCTAGCCAGAGATGCCGTTCGTATGAGAGGAAATCGGTGTGGTGATACTGTCCTTCGCTTCTCTGGTCCTAGAGAAAACACAAACACAGGGTCATTTTAGTCATTAAGTTGATAGTTTTCAAGCATGAAAGTTTCTATCTTTAAGACAAGAACACGAAAAAACACACAGCATTGGTGAGGGAAGGAAATGGCAATGCAACAACAAACCTAAATCTCTTTTGGACTCAGTTTTTGAGAACGAAAAATCACGAGAGTCCTGAGAGAGTCCTCGAGAATCTAGAGCAGAACAGCTTCTGTTTCTGTTAATGCACCCTTCAACATGTTAATGACTGGTAACTTAAAATGCCAATGTGATGAACTACCAAAACTCCCTACTTACACGAATTCAATAGGACTCTGTGTAATCGTTGCTCGAACAGCTGCAGAAATATATAATTAAAATCATGTTAGAAAAATAGTCAATGTTCATTCTCTCTCACTCTGTGTGGAAGGTAAATTATCCAGCTTCTTACCATTTCGAAACTCAGACCAGTCATCTTCAGCATCAAGACCACGCATGCCTTCACCATCTATGAAAGTAAATCTTCTTATGTCATTTCAGATTGATCAAATATAAAATACAGATTAACATATAATTCAATGGGTTACAAAACCCAAAGGCAAGGTTTAATTACCTGGCAAGATGTATCTTCTATGGTACTTGGGAGTGTTTATACGCAAAGATTGCTGCGAAAGACCCTCGGAATCAATATACTGTTGGCATGACCTTAATCTCTGCACATGGAAAATATTAACCGATGATCAAGAATTTTCCACTTTTACCAGTGATAAAATAATAAAACGTAAAAAAAATGAGGTGGACAAAGTGTTACCTGCTCAATGTAAGATACCCGAAGTTCGGTTTTGAAAACTTCACCAACATTTTCATTTAAAAGATCATTCACCTTACATGTCATAGAGCCCAAATGATCCACAGTGTTCAAAAGAGCTTTCATGGCATAATCTTTCAATGTATTTACAACTCTACATGTGAAACAGTACACATTACAGCAGAGGATGGGGATTTGTGTTCTTTTTTTTTCTCAGTTGGATTAAACATTTCACTCACATCTCTGTTTGATCATCATTGGAATAAGATGACTCAAAGTACTCAGCTGCAGAGTATAGCTGTTTTCGAAGGTTCTTCAAGTCCTGAAAAGCACACTTCTTTTATGGTAATTTCTTGCAAGGAATTGCAAAGAAATTGTCTACCATGTGTAGTAAGAAATGTTATTAAAGCATGAAAAAGAAAAGAAAATACCTTCAGACTCTCGGAGAACAGCACGCTTTGTTGCATTGAAGTCTCGTCGTGATTTACGGGCTCTCTAGGAAAGTGCATAGTTGTTGCATTTAATGTTTCCATGAATCACTGGTAATTGGTGCAATGCCCTTATCCTATTTCAATGCTTTAGCTTTGGTTTTCTAGGCTAAAGCTAGCTAGGCACTTAGAAGCTGGTAAGTGCATCCATCATATCACACATAAGCAGAATATATAAATGTATATAAACCATGACTTCATAGACACAAACTTGGCAAATAAAAAGAAAGAGAATATGATTAAACTAATGCAGTAAATGTCTTAAAAACTGTGAATAAACCCATTGTTCTCTTTGTAAACAGCACAATCAACTGATACAGAGTCTGGTCTACTTCAAGCACAACAAGCCAGAAACACCAGTTCATTAAAAAAAACCCATTATTCTCTTTACAAACTAATGAGAAGAGAAGATTAAAAAAAGCTGCAATCTTTCGTGGAGTAATCCCAGAAACAATATACACAGTAACAGAATTTCCAAAAAGGGAACTTGAAAGTGAAATTGAGAACCAAATGGCTGGAAAGTCAAGAACTCATCACCTGCAAATCTCAGACTTTCTTGATCATCCAAACCAGGGAAACATGAAGAACAGAGAGGGACTTATGCAGAAAAAAGAAAGAAACTTGGGATTCTTTATGGAAGGTAGGTGAAGAGCCACTTCAGTATAGTGGGATTCAAGTGGAAGGCAAAAACAAAATGGTGGATTTAAGGGGGGGCACAGCAAAGACGAGTGGGAAGAAGAGATCGGACGAAGAAGAAAAATGGATGGGGACAAAGGGAGGGGAAGAAGGAAGAAGATGGGGGCAGACCGGCGTGCTGTTATGAACAGTCATACGTATGAAATTCAAAAAAGTGAATAAACATATTCCGCCGTATTTCCAAGGGAATTGTTTTGTCGCACCACTTCTATATTTTCTCACCAATTAAAATAGGAAAATGCTAGAGTGCCACCACATGGGTGCTACTATGAGTGGACTCATGCTTCGCACAGACAAACACAGACGATAATTGTCTGTGTCGCACATACAATTATCATCTGTGTTTGTCTGTGCGAAGCATGGGTGTACCCATGGTAGCACCCATGTGGTGGCACCCTAGCATGGTCCATTAAAATAAAAGAATCTCATTTATACAAAGTACAAAACAGTTGGATTAATTTATTTGTTGATTATATTCAACTTTTACCTTCAATAAAAATATTTATGTTGCATAAATATTTAATTTATTATGGAATTTACATTCACAAAGCATAAAAGTAAAAGAAATTAAATAATGAAAAGTTAAGATTTTTTTATTTTTTAAAGAACAAAAATTAAAATTTTAACCGTAGACGGAGTAGTTTACTAAAAATAAAGACCGGGTTGCACTTCAATCATTCCTAACCGGAATACCGGGCTTAAAAAAGTCTTTAATTTTTAACTAAAATCAAACTAATCTAAGACCGATTGTGCATGAAAAAAATTGGGTCAATCTCGTCTTAAATAATAGTGGGTTTTCACAAGACTGGTCCAATATGACCAGATCTCTACTCCCACTCCACACAAAAAAATAAAGAAAAAACATTTTTTAAATTACAATATTTTTTAATTATGTGATCCCGTTCGACCACTCACTCTTTCACGAGTCTATAGCCATATGTTTCTTCCGTCCCAAAAAAGTATTTACACTTTGATTGTCATTATATGTTTTGAAAGTTAATGAAAATTGAAAAAGTGTGTGGTTAGATACTCCTTAGTTTATTTGGAATATCCAAATAATGGAATAAAAGTGTAAAAAATTATGAGAGGGAAGAGCATATTATTAGGTAGTCGGTAGTTTTTTCAGACCAAGGTTCCCATCACATTGCCCGGCAATGTCATGGGATGATCCGGGGGCGCTCCAGTGCCCCGTTCTGTTCAACTTATTTTTTTTTATTTGATCTGATTTTTTGTAGTTTTGATCTGATCTGGATCTGATCTGATTGGATCTGGTCTGATCTGATCTGATTGGATCTGATCTGAACTGATTGGATCTCATCTGGTCTGATCTGATTAATTATGATTTGATTTAAAATTATAATCAATAATTTGATTTGAATTTATAATAACGTTTGAAAATTGTAATGATAATATTTTTATTTTATGATTATTTGTTGTGAAATAAGAATATTGATTTAATATTTTAATAATTAGTTCATATATACATTAGAATAAATATTTAATTTATATATACATTTAAAAGTAATTAAATTTAGATAATCAATATGGAGAAGAGATAGTATTTTCATTAAAATATCTCATCCTTATAAAAGATCAAAACTTTAGAAACTCAAATTACAGGTAACAATAAAAATATTTTTTAAAAGTAGAATTAGATTGACATTATCAATGTATTTTCAAAATAATTTTTCCGATGTCTAAAAATTAAGGATTATTTTTTTCAATTTTCTATTTAACTTGTTTCTGAAGTTTATTCTTTTTCATTGTTAAGAGGAAGAAGAAGAAGAAGAATTAATAATAATAATTCTTGACGGGATCTGATTTGATCTGATTGGACCTGACCTGATTTGATTGGATCTGATCTGACCTGATCTGATTTTAATAAGAATAAGAAAAAATAAGTTGAACAGAACGTGGCCTTACTAGAGGATTATTGCTTTTTGATTATAATAATAATATGAAAAGGGGGAAAAATAAAATACTACGCCGTATTTCTTATAGATTTTCGAATCTTGGTCCCAACATGTTCGTTTTGAACTTGATTGTTTTTTTTAAATTAGAAAATTAAATTAGAATAGTCAATCTAGTAAAAAGTCAATCCTTACGAAGTACCAATTAGGGTCTCACCGATCAGCTTGAGAGACAAAGCGCACAACAATAACGACTATGACAGTGGATCAGGATTCTGATCATAGACGACATCTATAGACAATGATTACATTGGACAGTGACTCCAGTAAATCAACAATGACATCTAGCAGCGTTGGCTATGACAAGAAATCATTGTAAAATTACATTTATTGCTCTGAATGTAACATCAATATGACAGAACGTTAAAAAATAAACTATCGATAGAAAAAATACACATAAAAGAAAGAGGAGAGACGTAACATTTGAAAATATTGGACTAAATGCGGAATGTTGTGCCAATGACATTAATCTCATTAGTCTAATATTCGATAGCATAAAAGTTCATCATGCCAAAATGCAGTTTTTTTTTGTAGCGTGGCCAGTCCAACAATTGTATCGCTATCCCAAACCAAACCCACATATATTCACCCTTAGCTTTTTACACTCCCTCTTCCACTTCCAATACTATTTCTATGAACTGTACGTCTTCCCACGTGCTAGCTTGACCAGAACATAAAAAATAAATGCTTCTAGATGTGAAAAAAAGTACACATTATAAATAAAATGGTCTTTAGAGATGTATGCATACATATACCACAACAATAATGCTATTAATAATGAAGGTCGGATATGCACGGGGTAAGTTAGTTATAAGAGCAATTAAGATCCGGTCTTAGTTGTAACGAAACATCGTAAAAGTCGATAAAACATTCAAAAATAAGTGTCATCAAAAGCATCTTTGATTGATCCACAAAGTATAAATAAATACACATCAGTTCTAATTTCACAGTGATTGTTGCCGATCGATCACCAAGAAGACGATGACACTTCTCTAACATATCGGGCCTCTCTTTAATTAATTAATATAATGTCGTCTCCCCTACCTAATATTATTCAATTCCGTAGTTATATTTATATATATATATATAAATACTCCATCATAATGTGGCCTCTGTATTATATAATAATGTACTCGGAGTATCTTTTTGAACTATTAATAATTAATAGTTAAAAACAACGACCAAAGATCACGAAAACATGATACGAGTATATATAACCTGTCCAGCCCGGCCCGGCCCGGCCCAACTTGAAGATGGTTCATTTAGGCTTTCTTCCTCCACAGCGGGACTGCGTGCTTAAAACTTTCATAAATGCGGGTCTGCAATTAATGGATACACGAAACTATTTCAGTCCTTCAATAAATTTTTTGTTTAGTGTTTTGGTGATAATTTGATAAAATATAAACTCATGTCATAGATTTTTTTAGCGTAGTTTTTAAATACTCTTTGTTCATCATAGATATTTCTATTAATCCTTTTTAATTGTTTTTTATTCGCTTTTTAACATTTAAAATACCATAAGTAACTCATTTAATTTATTTATTACACCTCATTTAATATATACTCTACTCATTTTCATAAAAGATATTTTGGTAAACTTATACCCGAGTACATTTTTTCAACCCTCCTTAAAAATCACAAAAATTCAAAATGAGAACATCTTAAGATGACAGAGAGAGAATCTAAATTTTATTTTTTGTTTCAATACACTAAAATCATTTTTAAATAAAATATAGAGTACAAGTTTATAAACTTTGCAACTTTATTGGAAGTGTGCTCTTTGGCATTAGATGAAGGGATGATTATATTGCAAAAAGAAAAGAGTGCTCACATGATATAATTAATGGTAGTGTTTCTCTATATTGTTGATAAACAGTTTCTAACTTATAAATTGTTTACAAATCAAATATTTTTTCATTAAAAGTAAAATCACTTAAATGATACTCCTTCTGTTCCTAAAAATTGCCACAATTTAACTTTTTAGTCAAACTGTGGTCCCCTTGGACCACAAATTATAGAAAAAATAAATTTAGTTATAATGTAAATTTAGTAAAAATTGAGTTGAATTTAAAGTATAATTTTGAAATATCAACTTCTTATAATATTTCATTATTTTAAACTATATTTAATTTGTAGTCAAAAGGTGTCACAGTTTGGTTTAAAAAGTCAAATTATGACAATCTTTTAGGGACAGAGAGAGTAGATAAATCATCTATAAATATTCATAAATGCTTAGGAACTGTTTTATAAATAATATAATCAAAAACGAGAAATAAAAAAATTATCTTAAAATTAAATAGTTATGACCTAGTTATTTTTCTGACTAATAAGTAGCTTATAAATCAACTTATAAATACATAGAAATATGGTGACTTGTAAATTAAAAACTACTCCCTATTTTAACACAAACACAAAGGTACCCACTATTTTAAAACAGTATTATGGCAATCTTTTAGTCCAACCTATCATTCAACATGTTTTTAGACTTTATGTTGTACAATCAATAACAATAACGACATGCTTTTTTTAACTTTATGCTTTAATACATCCCTCCGTCTTTGCCACATTTCAAATTTCATGCAAAATATATTTCTTTTACATCAAAAATTTTTAAAAAACAAGATGAAACAAATGTATTTTATTCTATCAAATGTTCAATCAAAACAAATAAACAAATAAAAGTTATGAAAAGATCGAAATAGTAATTGTGTCATTCTCTTTTTAGGGTGAAGAATATGAGATATTTATAATTGTGAACCCATTACCTGAATGGGTTGAATACTTGAATCCATTGCACAAAAGTGACTAAACAAGTACCTTAATAAAAACATTCAAATTTTCATTCAAAAAAAAAATCAAACTTATGTTAAAACAAAATAATATAAATGTGTTTAGACTTCAAATTTAGGTTATGCTCGTCACTCTAATATCCAAATTTTAATTGAAATTACAGTTAGGTTACACTTGGCATACGAAATTCAAACTATAAAATTAATAATCTACTCTTTCCGTCCAAATTTAAATTATTTGTTTTGTTTTACGATATTTGAATGAAATTATTTTCAATGCAATTTATTAGAAACTTGGAGTGTAATTAAAAAATAAATTTTATATATTACTTAATAATCATATCAAAAACTCTACAAAGTGACATGATTATATTATTTTATCAAATTTGTAACAAAAATAATAAAAAAGAAAATGAATAAAGTTTGTCCATTTGAACAAAAACTGACAATATAATTTGAGATAGAAGGAGATAAACATGGATATTAATTATATATGTCTATGTTTATCTTATTCAAATTTGATCTAAATTTAAATATATGTAACGAATTAATGACCAGTTATTTAAAATCTAAACACTCGTTCAAAAATATTTTTTTCTAATGATGGATTAATAATTAGTAATTAGGTGTTGTTGTGTAGTCAAATGAAGGGTTTACAGACTTACCAAGAGACGACTAGAAGTATGTGAGGAAGTCAAGAGGCTGCTTCTGCTTCTTCTCCCACCACGTGCCACCTTCTTCGCGCCGCCGTTACAACTACCGTCCCGTAACGAAAACGAGAACGAAAAGTCCAAATTGCCCTTGCCGATAGCCCCAGCCGTCGCCGATCTGCTCTCATCCTTCAATCCCGGCTGATGTTCCCCTCCCGCCGGCGTCAGCGGCGGCGAGAACGACGCGGATCCCTCCTTGCTCTCTCGCCTCATTATCCTCACGACGATCGCCTCGTCGAGGCTGCGGAACGACGAGAACGAAGACATAGACGACCGGCTGAAGTCGTCGGACAGGTCCGCCGCCGCCTGAAGCCTCGGAGGCAAGTCCAGGCTCCTGCAGGCCGCCGGCGGTGGAATATCTCCGGCGGTGGAGGACAGCGGTTTTCCAGGGGCTTCCTCCCACTGGAAAGGCACGGAAGCCGCCGCGTGAGGCGGCGGCGTGAGGGATGCCAGGGGTACTCTGTTTCTGGTCGGGAGTTTTGTCAGGGAGAGCTTCGGAGTCGATTTCGGCTCGTAATTCTCGTCGGAAAAGTCCATAGCGGCGACCGCAGCGGTGAATTTACCTTCTTAGATTAGCTTCTTCGATCGGATGAATTTAAATGCAGAATTGAATTAGATTGGGTGGGAGGGTGTAATTGTAATACGCTCCTGTGGCCTCTTTCCCCTCCTTATTTGCGGGCGGAGTAACGGTCCTAACGGATATAACTCGTCGGCCTGCCGAATGACAAAACTAACCCTGCATTATTGGTGGGCCCAACATTGAAGTGAGATTTTCTGTACATGAGAAAATATTACGACTGACGAGTAGTGTGAGCTAGAGGTAGACATAGGCGCTGTATTTGTGTAGAAAAATGCTAGGGGGTGTATCACATTTGTCCCCCACCCCCTCCATTACCATAAAAATGGGCAAAAATTTTAAAAAAAATTAAATAAATAAAAAGTAGATAAAAATGAATAGTAGAGAAGGGGGTGTGGAACAAATGGGGTACACATTTGGTGTACCCCTAGCATGGCTCATTTGTGTATTAAATGGCCTCTTAGGCCTTGACCTGTTTTGCCAAAAAAAATGAGATTACCAAAACTAAAAATTGTTTTGTATATTTTTAAAATTATATTAAAAGATTTACAAAATTAATTATGATATTATTATTTTATTTTATCAAATGAGTAATGAAATAAAAAAAACAAAATATGTAAAATTTAATTTGTAAATAATGTATGTAAAGATTCGAGTGAACATAGAGGGCAGCTTGGTTTCTAAGGCTAGTTGGTTTGGAATTCGGCAAGCATTAGGGCATGAAGAGGCATAAAAATCAAACTGAGACAAATAATTTGAGAGGGATAGAATGTATAATATTTAATACGTAATAAAACTATCTTCTTAGTTATTAGTGAAATTTGCACTGAATAGAACTAAAACATAAGTCATTTCTCAATGTAGGACTTAAATTTTTTTTTATTCTCTAAATAAGACTTAATAATGATTAGTGAGAAGAATAATGTCCAAGTGATGATGGACATTTAGTTGAATAATGACTAATAGATAACGACCAATGATGATACATTGGAAAATAAAAACATACTGTCCTATTTTGAGAAAGTCATTATGTTTTAGTCCTATTTAGGTAAATTACCCTAGTTATTATTCACACGGTCAAATTTAAATAACCTTCTTTACATATTTTTGTTAGTTATTTGAAAAAATAATATAGTCTTGTCACCTCTTGTTTTATAGAATTTTTGATATAGTTTTAAATATATAAATTTTATTTTTCAATTTTACACCTAGAATTAAATAAATTAAATTAAAAATAATTTTGGTCAAATTTTGTAAATACAAACGGAAAAATAGTTTTAGGACGAAGTGAGTATAATATTATAATTATACATTTTGACAATTTTTATTCTATTAGATTTTATATAGAATTCGTTTTAATATAAGAAGATAATTATACCCTCCCTCAATTTCAGCTAGGCAACTTCGGTTGCAACATTTCGATAATTGTTATTTATTGGTATCCTTTCATTGATTATTTGAAACGGAGAATTTTAATCAAATGACCTACTTTTTAACACTCTTTTTTAAAACTTTTATAAAAGTAAATTATGAAGTGTACAGTAATTAACGACTTTGCTTTCAAAAAAATGAAAATGTTGTTTTCACATATCAATAATGGAGTTGTAAAGAAATTGCTAATAAAAGTATATATATATATATATATATATATATATATATATATATATGAAATTATATTAATTTTTCTAATTATTATTGATCAACATATATACTAAAAAGGATGAGATTATATTGACACTCACATTGTTTAGTACTGGGTAATTAATAGATCTAATATAACAGAATAGTAGGATATGAACAATATTAATTTCCAAATTAACACAACTCACATGAATAATATTTTCTAAATAGAGACGTTACTTATTGGTGTTTGATCGAATCACCACAAATCTCACGACATCCATTTACAAATTGTAGTCACTTTCTATACGCCTCCCCTACTCCCTCTCGTCCTAATTCTTTCTTCCTAGTTTGATTTTTCCTCATTTTTAATTTTTGGTTTTGAGTCCAAATTTTACCTTTCTTAAAAAAGATTTTTTGAAATTTTTTTACAATCATTCAAAATATAGAGTTAAAAGATAATTGATGTAAATACATAAGGATATTAATGTCATTTGTCATCTTTTTTTCTAATGGAAAGATAGTTTTAGGATGGAGAAAAATGAAAGTGAGAAGAAAGTTTTAGGACTTTACTTGATGACTCTTTTAATAAAATAAAATTTGTGTAGTTATGATATGGGTTGAAAAATGAAAATGAAAAGAATCACACATGGAGTAATATTCTCCTTTAAAAGGAAAACCAAAGGAAATTGTGAGACAATTCAAATAAGAAATATTTACACTAAAATAATATAAAGATAACTAGGGGATCTCAGTTCATAATTTGAAACATTTGGGTAAACGCACTCCCTCCATTTCTATTTAGTTGTCCGGTTTACTTTTCGAACTTAAAGTTTGATCCACAGTATCTCTTAAATATGTTAGTAAAAAAGTATTAAAAATAATCTCTTGATAGTAGATTTAAAGTACTTTTTGATACCAAGTGATTTGATATAATTTTTGTATTTTAATTCATTGTATACACTCCGTATTATGTATGACTAGTCAAATGTTTGACTGTTGTGGTGTACTAGAAAATGGATGAGTAGTGTGTAGCTTCACAGTTCACACACACTACTCGATCTCGCGCCCGCAAAAACAAACCATGGTCCAATCTTTCTTGCTTTAACAACACATAAATGTTGTTTGTTACTTGTTTTACTTTTTTAATAGTGAAATTTGCACTAAATAAGGCTAAAAGATAATGATTTTCTTAATGTAGCACTTAAATTTTTTTATTCTCTTAATAGGATTTAATAATGACCTAGTGCGAAGAATAATGTCCAATTATGATAGGCATTTATTTGAATAATGACTATTTGATAATGACCAAAGGTACTACATAGGAGAATAAAAAATATGATCCTATATTAGGAAAGTCATTATGTTTTAGTTCTATTTAAGTAAATTTCTCTTTTTAATACTCTTTTTGTCTTATCTTTTAATTTGATGTTTAGCATTTTTTAGAACGAATAGTTCATGTATTTTATTTTTTTATTCATGAACTAAATTACGAAGTAGTTTGATTGCAATCCCCTACTCATAGACGTATTGAGAAAGAGTAATGCTAGGAGTACTTCATTTATACACCAAGCTTTCACACAAACACACAAACACACAATGAGAGCTATTCATGTGTTGTTAACTTTCAATCTTACGGTTGATTTTAATCATAAACAATCCAAGCGAATTGGGACATATGACCAATATACAATTACATATCTTCTAGATTAAATTGCACATTTTTTCATGGGATCATGCTATGAGTACATGACAATGGTCTACCTCATTTGTACACCAGGCAAACACAAACACTATTTGTACACCTAGTACCGATCGACCCAATCCCTTCGATTTTAATTCTCAAATTTAGTTGACTTTGAATCAGATTTTTTGAACACGGAGATAACTAAATTTGTGAGATGAAATCGAAGGGTTGGATGTAGGTTAAAGTCAAGGCAAGGTGGGGTTTACCGAAGATAAAAATAATCAGTCATCAATTTTATAAGTCAAACACCCTAGGTGGTTTAAAAATATAGTGACACCGTAGTGTCAACCGGAGTCAGTGTCAACGAAAGTGACCCGAATAAACATACAAATCTACAACAAAAGGTGGTATACAAAAAACATCTCATAACTACCAATTTGGAGTCGAAATAAAAGTCTATGGTATTGCAACCTCCCATTTGTTATCATACCTACATATAGATCAAAATTGTTGATGTTTTTGTTACATCCAAAGACTCGTTACTATGAACGGAAAATGCATTTATTTCCATAGAGGAATCCAAACAAGAAAAATGATTCAAAAGTCTAAAAAACCATGTGAGGAGTCCACTCCAAGCAACCAATAAATGCAAATTATGCAACCAAACAATTTCTTCTTCCTCTGGTCCATGGCTTATCGAAGGGGTATTTATTTCCAATTCCATCGGTTCCACCAACCACCCCTGGCTATTTCTCTTGGTCTATGACAATTTTTAGATGATATTTGGTTGGACAACAAGTACAAAACAAACAAAAAAGAGTCAAGCTTTATTTGGTTATTACTTCCTCTATCCAAAAATCATCTTCTCATTACGCGTTATAATGTTTGATTGAAATTAGTTTTAAATAATTTTAAAAAAGTTATATACTCCCTCCGCCCAAAAGGTTTGTTACGTTTAGAAAAAACTGCGTCCCGTAAAGTTCGTTACATTTCTATTAAAAAACCACTTTTATCCCTTACTTTTTCATACCCTACCTATCACATCATATCTTTTTTTCTAATAATCTACCCATCACATCCTACTTTTACCCATCACATCAAAAGTATTTTTGAAAAGTCAATGCCAAAATATTCCTCCCTTAATTTCTCAAAAAGTCAAACCGTCCTATTCTTTTTGAGACGGAGGGAGTACTTAAAAACTACTTGAAGATAATTTGGGTCGACTTGTAAAAACAAGTCAAATTAAAACAAGTCAAATTGATTACTTTAGGTTCATTGACAATGTATGTTTTCGAAAAATGTTTGTCAATTCAACTTGGGTAAAAATGTCCCTCCATTGATATTTGGAAAGTGCTAAAATAAAAAAAGTGGTGGGTACTTTAAAAACTACTACCTCCCTCTATGAATATTTTTACAATTTTAATTTTTTCGTTTATTGATTTTCAATATTTGATCTATAATTAAATAAATATAAATTATATATTAATAAGATAAAATAATATTTTAAAAATATTTGAAATAATAAAATTATTTATTTATCAATATTTAATATCATTTTTTTAAACTTGAAATTTAAATTGACAAATTTCGATTGAAAGAAATTAAATATGGACAAATACGGGAGAAGATATAGTGATATACTCCGTACAATGTTGGTTTTTTATTCAAACGCAAATCATATAATTGCACGGGAGAGAGAGAAGGAAAGTTGGTGCACATATAAAAAATGCGGTCCGGTTCCATGGCCACTGGAATCTAGTGGCCACGGAAGCCATTGTCCCCTTACGAAACTATGTTCGTAAAATTGATGATTTCTATCCCCCTAACCCCCCAGGTAAACCCCCCTGCCAATTGCACCTCGTGAGCATAATTGACTTTAAAGTCAATACTTTTGACTTTATGCTTACGAGGTGCAATTGACGTAGGTGGGGTGATGAGTTTGGGCCGGGACTTGGCGGGGGGTTTACCGGGGGGGTTAGGGGATAGGAATCATCAATTTTATGAACGGCTAGGAATATATTCATCAATGTTTGTATTATTGTTCTAAAAAGAATCAAGGTATTAAGTATTCAAAATGGATCAAAACGAAGATAAGGACAGAGGACTGTCTTCGGGACGGTCGACCGCCGCTACGGACGGTGGACCGTTCCCTCGGCCATTCCGACGGTCACCACTGTGATGGTCGACCGCCGGCCGTGACGGTGGACCGTTTGTGACCCAGATCCCAATCGTAGCCCACGGTCGACTGCCGGTAGGCTACGGTCGACCGTTCCTCGGGCAGTTTTCGTGACAGTTTGTAGAACGAGTCCCATTGACCATAACGACCCAGAATCTGATTGTATGTTTGCATGAAATTCAGTGGCCATGGAACCGAGCCGTAAAAAATGTTGGAATTTCAAAAATCAAAACAAATTAGATCAGATCAAAATTTCAAAAATTCAGATTAAATTCAATCAGATCAGGTGTGCGGAATAGAACCAAAGCCAAGCAACAAAATTACAATACAAAGACTCTTCCCTTAGTATATACTCCGGGTATAAGAATAAACAAATACTGAAATATTAATGAAGTAGTTACTCCATCTGCCCCAAAATATTTGCCACATTTACTTTTTTTAGCAGTCGCGTGAACTTTTATTTATTTCTACATTTTCATTAGTTATTTGATAAAATAAAATATTATTGACACTTCTTATTTTGAATAACTTTTCATGTAATTTTAACTTTTTATTTCTTTACTTATATGTAAACAAAATGAATTGAAAAAACTTGTTATTTTACCTTAGTAATTGATGGGTATATCCTTATACCCGACCCGGACAACCGAAAGGGACAGGTCAAAATATGACCGGTCACTTTTATCAATCACCAAATGAGGTTAACTCTTCGATTGGGACGGGTCAAAAGTTGACCGATCACTTCCACTAAAAAAGTGACCGGTCACATTTTGGGCGATAGCCAAAATGTCGCCTAATGTTACAAAGGACATTCTAGAAGACCAGAGACGGGTTGAGCACAAAGAATGACCGGGTAACTTTTGAGAGAAGGTGATCGGTCATATCACTTTACTTGGCTAACATTGGTTCAGTCTATTAGGCATGGTGAACCACGTCAGAGGTCAAGGGGACACCCCGCCGCTCATCCATCACGAGGCACACAGTGAAAGGGATGTTTGTCATTTTGCAGGGTTGATTGGATTGAGAATATCCATTTTAGTTTTTGATTGAACAGTACATGTCTTGGCCTATAGTTGCTAAATTCTATGATTGTACGGGGGAAGGTCACAAATCCTCCTCTATAAATATGATGATATTGGATAGAGGAGGGGATCCAATTTTTCTCTCACTAAAGTTCACTCTTGAGATAGAGTAAGAAATATAATTCGGACTGAGGAGTTTTACCCGGTCTAGGTCATACTTCGTGTTCTTGTTGTGTGTTTTATATTACGGGTCGAGTGTGTCCAGGTCAAACCCGGTTAACCCACCCCGCTATATTTACACCATCAGTAATAGAAATGCAACAAATAATTTGGGACGAACGGAATACTTTTTTTCAATTTAAACACAAATAAGGCAAATGAAAGTTGTCTAGAGACAGACTCACAGATCGATCGCGGGGTGATATTGGGCCTGTTGGGACGAGCTATTTGGGATAAAAACCCTTAAAGATACGGAGTAAAATAATGCCGCCGACTTCCACGGCTTTGCTCACCGCCGATCAACCTTCGCTTTGCCATAGAGGGGGAGTTTTGAAGAATATGTGGTGGCCTCATAATGTCCATATCATCCGGCAACAGCTTGCAAGGTGAAGTTAATTGGTTCTTCTCAACTGGGTCAAAGTTTTCCTCGTTAATCGATGTTGTTGATTTGATTTCACTGATTTTTAAAAATTCGATTTTTTGTGTTGTAAAAATTTAATCTTTTAGGCGATGCAACAATATTTTTTTATTATAATATTTCTGGTAAAAATTTAATTTTGTAGGCGATGCAACATTATTTTTTTTACTCCGTATAAGATTGCTTATAGAGATGCTGAAGTTAATTTCCGTTGATTTTAAGAAATTAATCAATTGTAAAAAAAAAATTAGACTTTGATTTGATAGTTGAGAAGAAAGACTGCTGATTTTTTCCTTTCTGTGATGGAATTCCCCATACACCCCCAATCTACATTTTTTTCTTGCGTTGTAAAAATTTGATCTTTTAGTCTTGGATTGCTTGCTGAGAAGAAAGACAGCTGATTTTTTCCTTTCTGTGATGGAATTCCATATACCCCAATCAACATTTATAGGACCCGAAAGTCGATTCTCTGGGATACAGTCCTATTGAAATCTAAAGCTGTTTCATGCTTAAAGAAACCAATTTTGTTTGGTTTTTTTCATCTAGGGGATTTTCTAGAGTCAACAGTCGTGTCGCGTTCAGTAGTAAAAGCAATAGATCACTCTTAATACTCAAGAAATTAGGATTTGCATTAAATGTTTCTTATGAAGTTTTACATAGAAAGAATTTTCAAATAAAAATCGTATTAGAGATTTTATCTCAGTAGAATTTACTGCGTAGTATTTGTTATGTAAACAAATCTAGCAAATGATCAAACCAAAAATTGAGTTGCCTTGAAAAATAAGAATCTTCCCCAAAAGAGTTTACCCAGATTAATGAATGGGATAACTTAAGCTACATTAAAACAACAACAACAGAAAAGTCAACAACCCACTAGAATCTCACAAAAGCAGGTCTAAGATTTAAGACTAATTACAGAAGCATTAATCCAAGGAAGTCAATTTCAAGGAGTTTCAAGCAATAACGAATTTAAACCATAAGAAAAATTAGGAAGTGTTGACCTCTTCTTTAGTGAAATTTTAGGCAGCAGCAGGTTGTGAGGATAGCCTTCTTATAAAAGAACACTTTTCATCTAGGGGGGTCAGAGATTCTTTATGAGACTGAAATATCTTTAGCAGGATAACAATTAAGAGGCATGGAATAGTATGACATAGCATTTACCGGCAAATGTATACTGAACATTAAACACAAAGAATACTATAGGTATTTACAGTCTTGTAATGAATTACAAAGTACTAAAGATAACGAAACTACAAGCCCTCTTACGATTCACCCACGCTCTTGACAACATCCTTCAAGGCTGTCACAGTCAACTCTGGCACTTCCTTGGATGGATTGTGCCCATCCGTGGAGACCTTCTCTGGGAATTAGGTCTTTGTGGCACAACACCGCAACTCTAAGAGAGTGGTGCACTATTTCTTGTTACAAGTAATGACTTCCCCATCGTCACAAAGAAGTTTCTTGAAGATTGAATCCTCTTTTTTGTGGTTCATTGGCCCTTGTTGAATAGTGGGTTCAGCACCACGTTGTTGAGCAGAAAGAGATCAGCCGATGAAATCTTGATTCCAAATGAGTCTTGCAGCTCCTGGAATGACATGAAAAGCGTCATGAAAATGTGACCGACATCGGGATCCGTGTCTCCAGCATTGTTTTTGGCGAATGCGAGGATGAGTTTACCATGGTGAAGCACACAGCGGTATTTCAATTCTTTAGGCTCATCAATATCCATAGTTGTTGACTAAACCAGAGAGGAGAGAAATCGATGGAAAATGAAGGTTTGGAAAGATGATGGGATGAGGGTGAGGAAGATGCCGAGAGATTTATGGGCAGATACCGAGGGCGAGTGGGCCAATCCCTCGGTAATCGAAATTATGATGTATACTTAAAACGTCACTCAAAGTAGGGGTAGGTTGGGCACAAAGGTGGGAATCGGGTTAACCAAATCGGTTTTGGGTTGGATTTTTCAGTTTGGATATATTTCGAATATATACTATAATCGGTTCGGTTCGGTTTGGATTTGATTCAGTTTTATACATATTTTCGGTTTGGTTTAGTTTTTAGTCAGTTTAGAAAAGATTCAATTATAAATCAGATTAGATAGATTTTGGGTAAAAATCTAAAAATTTTTATTATTGTCTGAATTTTCTTGAAAATCTTAAAATTTTCTAGAAAATGATCATAATTAGATTTTTACCCAAAATCTATGTGATCCGATTTATAACTGAACCGTTTCTGAACCATCTCAAAACCAAACCGAACTGAAAATATGCATAAAACCGAATCAAATTCGAACTGAAATTAAACCGATCCAAATTGTACCAATACGATTATAGTATATATCCAAAAAATCCAACCCAAAACTGATTCGATTGACTCGATTCCCACCTTTGTGCCCAACCCACCCCTACTTTGAGTGACGTTTTAAGTACGCACATCATAATTTTGATCACTGAGGCATTGGCCCACTCGCCCTCGGCATCTGCCCATAAATCCGCCATATAAGCTTGATGACAGCAGGGGCGCATCGCTTTGAATCTTGAGACTCGTCTTCCCCACCCTCATCCCATCATCTTCCCAAACCTTCATATTCCATCAATTTCTCTCCTCTCGTGTTTAGTCAACAACTATGGATATCGCTGAGGCTAAAGAATTGAAATACCATGGTAAACTCATCCTCGCATTCGCCAAAACAATGCTAAAGACGTGGATCCCGATGTCAGTCACATTTTCATGACGCTTTTCATGTCATTTTAGGAGCTGCAAGACTAATTTGGAATCGAGATTTCATTGGCTGATCTCTTTCTACTCGACAACAAGTACGTGGTGGTGAATCCCCTATTCAACAAGGGCCAATGAACCAGAATACAGAGTCTTCAAGAAACATTTTTGTGATGCTGGGGAAGTCATTGCTCGCAACAAGACACAGTGCACTACTCTCTTTGGGGTTGGACTCCTTGCGGAGCTATGCCACAAAGACCTAATTTACAGAGAATGTCTCCATGGATAAGCACAATCCATCCGAGGAAGTGCCAGAGTTGTGTGCGAGACTTTGACAACCTTGAAGGATTTTGTCAAGAGCGTGGGTGAATCGTAAGGGGACTTGTACTTTTGTTGTCTCTAGTAATTTTTTACAAGACTGCATAAGGCCTGTAAATACCTATAGTTTTCTTTGTGTTTACTGTTCAGCATTTGCCGGTAAATGCTATGTTGGACTATTCCATGTCTCTTAATTTTTACCCCACTAAAGATATTGCAGTCTCATAAGAATCTGTGACCCCCCCGTAGATGAGGTCAGCACTTCCTAAATTCTCGTATGGTTGGAATTTATTATTGCTTGAAACTCCTTGAAATTGAATTCCTTGGATTAATGCTTGTGCAAGTAGTCTTAAATCTTAGACCTGCTTTTGTGAGATTCTAGTGGGTTGTTGACTTTTCTATTGTTGCTGTAATGTAGCTTAGGTTATCACGTTCATTAATTTGAGTAAACTCTTTAGGGGAAGATTCTTATCTTTCAAGGCAACTCAATTTTTGGTTTGATTATTTGCTAGATTTGTTTACATAACAAATATTACGTAGTAAATTTTACTGAGATAAAATCTCTGATATGATTTTTATTTTAAAATTCTTTCGAGGTAAAAATTCATAAGAAACATTTAATGAAAATTCTTTATTTTAGGGTATGTCAAAATCCTAATTTCTTGTCTTTTTTCTATTTTTTGAATTTCAATTTTTAATTTTTTTGGTTAATTCCAAGTATTTTTTATAATTGGATAGTATGTTGGTGTTTGAGTTGTTGAACATTTTAATTTTGATAATTTTATAGCATGATAAATTATTGTTGGAAATTTTCACTTTAGGGTTAAGTTTAAGGTGGAAAGTGAATGGAATTTTCTGGACTGATAGGCAAAGTGCCATATGACTGAAGGTTGTATGTGATTTTTTTCCTTCTATTGGGAGATATTCTTTTGATGAACATGCATTCGAATGGATGAGTTCCTGAAAAGGATTACACTACATAGGTGATTGAGGTGCTAAATATCTTGGAATTTTGCATTTTGCTTTGAGTTAGTTTTCAGTTTGTCTTTGATTCCTTTTAAAATTTACATTAGATTATGTTTCTTATGTTTAAAACAGGCAACAAGAGTGATGATATCCCCTATTGATTTTTGTTTATTGAGAGGTGTTGGTTACTTCCTCTATAGTCTGTTGTTTTTGGTTAGCTCTAGTGACTAGTGAGTTACTGACTTGAAGTTTTTATGTCTAGGAAGTTTGCTATTTCACTCACCAACACTGTGTTGTCTCTTATTCTCTTCACGTGAAGCTATGGTTTCACTTTCGTTTTTAGCTCTGGTTTTTATGGTTTTGGTTCACAGTGGATTTTCATTTCATTTTTGGTTGAAATCTTTGATTCCTATGGTCTTTCGACCAATTACAGATTGCCAGTAAAGAGGTCTAATTTGTTGGATAATACGTTGTATTTGTTGAAACGATGGGTCCCGTTTGGACGGGCTGCTTAAACCTCCCATAGGCCTGCACTGTTTCTTTTCTCTCTCTTTTTCTTCTTCTTCTTCTTCCAAAGTGTTACTCAATATTGGGATACCATCAATATTATATAGATAGGGGCTGCTGATTGTCTAATTTATAAAAGTAGTTTAAATTCCTAGCAGCAAATCCCACTGCCTTTCTCTTGTTATTCAAGGTAATTAGGATCTTGCATAACAGATGGTTGGCAGAATTCTGTGCATTATGCCACATTACCATTTGTGTCAAAATTCTTTCTTTATCGAATCTTATTATGCTATTTATGGAGTGGTGCTATTAGTTGGGCACCCATGGCACATATCTTGCTGGTGGTGTCAACAAGGATGTAATTTTTCTTTGGTGCAGACTTCTGTCTGCCAAATATGATGGACAACAATATTTGGCAGACAGAAGTCTGCACCAAAGAAAAATTACATCCTTGTTGTCCGTCATATTTGGCAGACAGAAGTCTGCACCAAAGAAAAATTACATCCTTGTTGACACCACCAGCAAGATATGTGCCATGGGTTCCCAACTAATAGCACCACTCCATAAATAATAATAATATTCGATAAAGAAAGAATTTTGCCACAAATGGTAATATGGCATAATGCACAAAATTCTGATAACCATCTGTTATGCAAGATCCTAATTACCTTGAATAACAAGAGAAAGGCAGTGGGATTTGCTGCTAGGAATTTAAACTATTATAAATTAGACAATCAGCAGCCCCTATCTATATAATATTGATGGTATCCCAATATTGAGTAACACTTTGGAAGAAGAAGAAGAAGAAAAAGAGAGAGAAAAGAAACAGTGCAGGCCTATGGGAGGTTTAAGCAGCCCGTCCAAACGGGACCCATCGTTTCAACGAATACAACGTATTATCCAACAAATTAGACCTCTTTACTGTCAATCTGTAATTGGTCGAAAGACTATAGGAATAAAAGATTTCAGCCAAAAATGAAATGAAAATCCACTGGGAACCAAAACCAGAGCTAAAAATGAAAGTGAAACCATAGCTTCACGTGAAGAGAATAAGAGACAACACAGTGTTGGTGAGTGAGATAGCAAACTTCCTAGACATAAAAACTTCAAGTCAGTAACTCACTAGTCACTAGAGCTAACCAAAAACAACAGACTATAGAGGAAGTAACCAACACCTCTCAATAAACAAAAATCAATAGGGGATATCATCACTCTTGTTGCCTGTTTTAAACATAAGAAACATAATCTAATGTAAATTTGAAAAGGAATCAAAGACAACCGAAAATAACTCAAAGCAAAATGCAAAATTCCAATGAGAGAAATAGTTTCTTTTTGATATCTTAGTTTGTGATTTAGCTAACTTATAAATTGTTATATTAATTTTATCTGGGTAACTTATGAATTACTACTTCAGTTGAAAGTTGGAAACCAAGCTAAGAAAGACATACATAACATGTTAGAATATGAGAGGAACCCCCCAAACAACCTCACTTAGCATTAAAAAGAAACCCCATTTAGTTTAGGCATTTTCCTAAAAGATATTTAGCACCTCAATCAACTATGTAATGTAATCCTTTTCAGAACTCATCCATTCCAATGCATGTTCATCAAAAGAATCTCTCCCAATAGAAGGGAAAAAATCACATACAACCCTCAGTCATATGGCACTTTGCCTATCCGTCCAGAAAATTCCATTTAGTTTCCACCTTAAACTTAACCCTAAAGTGAAAATTTCCAACAATAATTTCTCATGTTATAAAATTATCAAAATTAAAATGTTCAACAAATCAAACACCAACAACAACCCCATGAAAGGATTGGATTATTATTGTCAAAGATTCATCCCCTGCATAGCATTTACAGGCATATGTATGAACAGTAAACACAAAGAAACCTATTAGTTATTTACAGGCCTTCACAAAGAAAACTAAAAGCCTCTTAGGACTCACCCACAATCTTGACGACCTCTTTCAAAGCTTTCACAGTATCGGAGACAATTTTGGCACTACCTTGGATTGATGTTGCCCATGCCTGGATACCTTCTTTGGGAATGATGTCTTTGTGGCACAACGCAGCTAGCAGTCCAACCCCACATAGAGCGGCGAACGATGTCTTGTTGCGAGCTATTGATTCCCCAGCTTCACACAGAACTTTCTTGAAAACTGAATCATCTATTTTCTTGTTCATGGGTGCTTGATGAATGGGAGGGTTTAGCACCAAGTATTTGTTGTCGACCAGAAAAAGATTCGCCGACGAAATCTGGATTTCAAACGAATCTTGCAACTCTTGGAATGACATGACTGGACCTGTCGTGAAAATGTGCCCCACATCCGGATCCTCGTCTCCGGCAGTTTTGGCGAATGCTAGTATGAGTTTGCATTGTCAACCACGCAGCTATACTTCAATTCTTTAGCAATGTCCATAGTTGTTGATCAGAGAGGAAGAGAGAAGAGAAATCGATCGATGGGATGAGGGTGGGGAAGACGAGCTTGTACGACGGTGGGCAAATGCCAGTAATCCAAAATATATTTTGGTTGGGTTGGGCACAAAAGTGTGAAACGGGTCAACTGACTCGGTTTTGGTTTGGATTTTTGGATTTGGATATACTAGTATTTCTACCCGTGCCACGCACGGGTTGGAACGAATTTTTTTTTTATTCTACAATGTGGATCTTGATTTTAATTTGACATATTATTTAAAAGTAAAATATAAATGATCTAGGTTTGATGTATTATTTCTACAAATCTATAAGCTCAAACATATATGTTCTCTAGACAATCTCACTTTCAATCCTTTTAGAACAACACTATAAACGGGATTTCGATCTGTTGTGTTTGAGGGGAAAGGGGTGTCAGTTTGTGTAAGGTGAGTTTAAAAACTTGAGTAAGTGAACCTATATACCCCAGGAATAGTATGATTTTGGATATTACCAAAAGTAATGAAAGTCACCATAGTAGATGATTTCTCTAGGGCAACTTGGACTTATCTTTTAGCATCCAAAAGCAATGCCCCTGATATCATTCAAGCTTTCTTAGCTATGGTTAACACGCAGTTTAGCAAACAAGTCAAAGTTGTCCGATCTGACAATGCCCTGGAACTAGGGAAAAGCAGTTTTATGACCCAGTTTTTCCTCTCCAAAGGAATCCTTCATCAAACTAGTGTCAGGAACACTCCTCAACAAAATGGAATTGTTGAGCGAAAACACAAACACCTTTTGGAAACTTCTAGAGCCTTATCCATCCAATCCCATTTACCTATCAAGTTTTGGGGAGAGTGTGTCTTAACTGCAACTTACCTCATCAACAGGTTCCCTACCAAACTTTTGAAACATAAATCCCCTTATGAAGTTCTTTTTGGCAAGGCACCGAACTATGATCATTTGAGAGTTTTTGGATGTCTTTGCTACTCTTCTACACAGTCACAAGGAAGAAATAAGTTTCAAGAAAGGGCTTCACCTTGTGTCTTTCTAGGATACCCTTATGGGAAGAAAGCTTACAAGGTTTACAATCTTCAAACCCACAAAGTTGAAGATTCCAGAGATGTAATTTTTCATGAAACCATCTTTCCTTTCACCAAACAGTCACCCTCAACTCCCATTTTCCCTTCAACTTTTGATTCTACACAGCCATACATTGAATCCTCTCCAGTTTTGCCTTCTTCTCCCATTTCAGCAAACCATCATAACCAAATTACTTCTCCAATTTTGTTCCCTGCCTCATCTCCTTCACTCCCCTCAACTCAACCAACTTTTCCTCTTCAACCTAACATACAACCCTCTAGAAGGTCCAGCAGATCTCACCATCCACCCACATACCTTCAAGATTATGTGTGTCATACTTTTCTACATCCTATGTCTGATCCATCTCATTCTTCCTTCTTTGATACTTTGTGCCCTCACACCATTACTTGTACCCCTACATCTTCACACATATGTTTAGGAGCACTAACTCAAGCTAGTCAAAAGTTTTTGCACAATGTCTCACATATGCAGGAACCAAGGAATTACAAAGAAGCTAGTGTGGATCCAGCATGGCAGGAAGCTATGCGTCTGGAATTTCAAGCCCTGGAAAACACAGGTACCTGGGCAGTTTGTCCTCTACCCAAGGGCAAGAAACCTATTTCTAGTAAATGGGTTTACAAGTTAAAATTCAAATCAGATGGCACCTTAGAAAGACATAAAGCTAGGCTGGTTATTCGTGGATGCACTCAAAAGGCAGGTATTGATTATCATGAGACATTCTCTCCTGTTGTCAAGATAACCACTGTTAGAGCTTTACTTGCAGTTGCTGTTAAACACCACTGGCCTGTTTATCAATTGGACATTAATAACGCCTTCTTACATGGAGATCTTCATGAAGAAATTTATATGAAACCACCACTAGGTATGCCTCTCGCCAGCCCAAATTTGGTTCTCAGGTTAAAGAAATCCTTGTATGGTCTCAAGCAAGCCTCCCGGCAATGGTATGCCAAACTAAGTGTGGTTTTGAGATCCAAAGGCTATTCTTCTTCTAAAAATGACTATTCACTATTCTCCAAGAAGACAGGTTCTTCTGTTGTTCATTTAGTCATTTATGTGGATGACATTCTCATTACTGGGAACAATTCTGAAGAGATCACATG